CAGAAGTTATTATTTAATAAGAAAGTATTTTTGCATAAATGTTACAAATATATTAATTCAAAACAGTCAAATATATTTACTAAAACACATTTTCAAATGTTACTGATTAAGATTAACATCAAAGAAATGTTTTATGTTTAAGTATCTGTATTTCCTGCTATAGTAAATCATCCATTATGTAAACTGTCCTCATGATTTTGACTTTATCTCAGAACAAAAAACTTTAGATAAACATTAGGCCCACCTCTAATTTATTTTATGCCTATTAGAACATTTGTTGTTAAAGCTACTAAACAAATCAATAGAATCTGATCATCCTTTGAATTTTATTTTTTTTACTTTTACAAATAATCTTGTTTCCAGTTGTAGCTTGGATTTATTCTAAGGACTATTACAGCAGAATGTAGTAACAGTGTCAGGTACTAACTGTCAGAGTGCTTATTTTGACCTTTTTATAACTTATAACTCGGATTTATTCTGAAAGTCACAGATTAAATGTTTTGAAGAACTCCTGGATCTTCTTCCACAGGTGGACTTCAGCAGCAGCGTGAACTAGAGGCTCACCCCTTCCCCTCCCCCAACAGAAATGGCACGCGTACAACTGGATGAAACCGTGAGGGGAAACACGGGGCATGGGGGGAATCTATGTGGTGTCCAGCTCCAGGGTAACTCACACTCTCAATCAAAGTTGCTCTTCCCGAGTCTTCAGTCTCTCCACCATCTCATCCATGTAGGCCTTGCTGTCCCAGTTGAGGTCGTCCTCTGATCCCACGAAAAGGAAGTTTCTGCTGCCTTTGATCTTGATAATATACCAACTCCTTTACTGCCCACCTGTAAAAATAAGAGTAAAAATAGAATTAAACATACAGAGTTTATGAAATGGAGAATGAAATAACTATTAACACTTTGAAATCTAGAAATTATCCCAAGCTAATTAGTTTTCAATGAATGAATGAATGAATGAATGAATGAATGAATGAATGAATGAATGACTCAATCAATCAATCAATCAAATTTATTTCGAACAAAGAGATAACCATACTTGAACATATTAAATGCAGAATACACATATTTTTTACAGCAATAATAATCTCAACATGTTCGAGATATATAATGGATAACCAGGTATGCAAATTGATTCAGGAAGGACTTTTTGTTACCCAGATACACAAACATTTCTATGACAAGCGCAGCTGACACACGTCCTAGAAATCTGGCACAGACTGCTGATTTTGAGGATTTCGAATTGACTACATTTCAGTGCAACGATCATCATCAGCAGGATATTGAGTATGACATTGATCCGGAGAATAATTTTTTTTGCGGGTATCAGTGATAACTGTCAATATTACACTGATGATCAGTTTAATGGCAACGTAAAAACTAAACATAAGCTGTCAATAATCCACTTCAGTAGCAGAAGCTTGTATGCTAATATCTCCAGCATCAAACAGTACCTCCAACTACTTTCACAGACTTTCAATACAATTGCAATATCAGAAACATGGCTAAACAATGAAAAGGGCACAGACTTTGAAATTGATGGCTATGAAATTATACATAAAAACAGAAAAAACAAAAACGGAGGTGGTGTGGCTTTTTTTGTGGATAAGAATATCAATTACAAGATGATAGACTCAATGTCAACAGTTATGGATAATGTTTTTGAGTGTGTGACTAAATTTATGGAAAATAGAAGAATGTTCTCATGAGTTGCATGTATAGAGCACCAGGATCTAATATAGAAGTATTCAATAACTGGATGGAGGACACATTTATTAAAGTTAATCAAAAGCATGTATTTATTTGTGGGGACTTCAGTGTTGATCTTTTAAATCCAAACAAACATAGAATGACAGAAGATTTTATCAATATCATGTATAGGCTGTATAGAGCTGTATCCTAAAATCACCAGGCCCACCCTCATTACATCATACAGTGCAACTTTACTTGATAACATATTCACAAATGTTTTAGAGAATAGTTTAACTTGTGGAATATTAATGAATGACATAAATGATCATTTACCAGTATTCATAGTTTATGATTGCAACTATAAAAAAGTAGATCAAATTATTGAATTACAATACAGACAGGTTTGGACGGATGACTCGTTGAAGGCACTAAAATTTCAACTGATGACATTGGGGAATAATTTATAGAACAGATGAAGTKGCTGTAGCACATGAAGAATTTTTAAGAATATTTAAATTATTATCTGACCAAAACTGTCAGGTTAAGGAATATAAAAGGAAAAGAAGTCATAATAATGAGGAGTGGATGACAAAGAGATTACAAAATGCATGTACGTAAAAAACAAAACTCAGCTTTTTAAGGAGTTTATAAAACATAGAACTCCTGAATCAGAAAATAGATATAAGAAATTTAAAAATAAAATAACCAACATTGTAGGAGGATTTTAAYTAATGAAAAGTTGCTAAATTATAAGTTTTCTTATAATTTAATAACATAATAAAGGGGCACCACCTGTTATTCTAACAGGAAATTAATCTAATATTTTGACTCAATCTCATGTACTGAAGGACGGAGCGCTTAAACTGTAAACATGAGTAAAAGACGCGGAGACAAAGCATAGATTTCACAATATGCCCTATATTGTGGATTCAGAGATAACAATACAGACAGGTTATTTGGGCAGACAGAAACACAATTATTATCATAATCTCTGACTTTAATAAAACCGTGAACTCATCACCTGACAAATACCTCTCATATCATCTGTTACTGAATCACTTATTCTAACCTATTTCTACCCTAGCAGAATAAATGAGCTTTCCTAAAGCACAACTAAAGAATCATTATCTAGATTAACTATAAAGGACCAAGTTATGGGGAGGGAAGAACACGGCCTGCGTTGATTCTAAACTGATTTAATTCATAATAGAGAGCACACACCAAGCTGCCGTGGAGTTCAGCGTTGCTTACCCGGAGCAGTCTTCAGACCTCTGGGGGTACTTTGTAACGAGTTTCAGTCAAAAGCCTTGTCTTACCTCTGGTTTGACCGTTCACCATAGACTGGCATAAACAAAGTCCCGTTTAGATAATCTGGTGCTTCGGTAGGGTTGGCGAACCTCTTTCAACACACGCTGCAGCTGTTGACACGTTCTGCAGCCCGGACTGAGTTCTGACTTTATGAATGAGCATCAATCTCGAATCCTGCACAAGCCTGCGTCCTCCCAACAACTCCGTCAAAAGTACAAATGAACATAAAGAAAACAAAATAAAAGAAAATAAATGTCCCCAAAGGGGGAAAAYTGGAGCTTAAAACTCCCGACCCATTCTCTCTTGCTGCTGTTTTCAAAACTCTCTACACTAAAAAAAATGTTATCTCTTGTCCTGACTTTACAAACGTCTGATTGGCTGTGGGTTGTCACCCGCTTCACTGACATCACATTTCTGCTGCTAAAATGATTAAACAACACAGATTGATGTGGTTACTTGTGCAGTGATTAAATCAAGATATTATCACAGTGATTGAGTCATGATAGAAAAATTCATTGTTTCTTTTTCTTCTTTTTATTATCAGATGAACAAACAACAGAAATTTACCCAGAAAAACATTTGTTCATGATGTGATTATGAGACCAGCCT